GGAGGAGGGAAAGAAAGTTCTATCCGGGGAGCAGAAGCTACCAACACAAAGAGAGTGGGCTTGCGAGAGGGATCTAGAAAATAATAAGGACACTTGGGAAGAACAAGCAAATGTAGGAGGCAGGTTGCAAGAGAAATGGTGCAAGTAGGAGGAGGAGCAAAGGCAAGAAGAGTGGGTAGAGCATGGGGATGAAGCAGGACAGGAAGAATAGTCACACAGGCACAGGATAGATCTGTACAGAGCTCAGAATCAAGAAAAGGAAGTATCATCTGCCTCATTTCAAGAGAAAAAAAGGTGGCAGCCATAAAACTGGGCTGTACAGAGAGCAAGGATGGATGAGAGGTCAGATATGACCCAGGAAGGGATCAAAAAAAAGTAATTCTGACTCCTGGATGCTGAGGGAGTGTCTGCAAATGCAGAAAGAAAAGGGTTATAATGGAGTAGGGGAAACCAGATCTCTAAGGCACATACTACAGACTGGGCACCAGGGATGCTAGGGGCAACAGCACTTGGCTCTGCTTCAGTGTTCAGAGAAGGCTGGAAGAGCAGTGGACTGGATATGACAGTATAAGTAGATCTACAAAGCAGACTAATACTGAAGGTATATGGTAGAGGAGATGTAGGTAGGAAAGGGTGAATGAAACTTGTCACTTCTACAGATCATGGAAGCAGAAAGTTTGCTGTTCTTCCTTCTCAGGCCTTGGTTTGGGCTGACGCTGTGCAGTATGTCAATACTGTCACCCATTTTTTTGACAACAGACAGAGAAGTCACACTGGCTTAGTGGGGACCTGGGCCACTGAAGTGTGAAAAGGCTGTCACAGTGATGATTCTGCTCCAGTGCTTTTGGTTTCTGAATCCCAAAAATATCAAGAAAACCAATGGAATTCAGCTCCAAAAGACAGGGTGCTCGGGACAGCTTAGCACTTGCCTCTCCTTAAAATGAAAAGTGTAGCTTGAAAAAATAAAACCTCACTAAGCATGAGACATTATAGAATTCCAGCTTATGAAGAGAAGAGGCTGAAATTTTCCTCACCATTCCCTTTTCTCAAATGTATCTCAAGATCTCTGTAACTCTTATTTCTACTACAGAAGCTAACATCTGAGTGTCAGCTAAAAGTCAGTGAGAGGCTATAAAACACCTTGTACCTTCTTGCAGGTAGCTTATTCACTTGAAAGATTCTGCTGATGTTATAAACCTGGAACAGGAAACTCAAGTGAGTTGCAAACAACAGTGAAGTAAACTACTGTGAAAGCTGGCTCCTGTTCCCTTCTAAACTCATGCTCAGTGACAGATGCAAACAGCCAGAAGAGCCAGCAAGTGAAATCAAGGCTGAAAAAATTAATTAGCAGGTGAAATTGAGCCAAAGAGACTGAATGGTAGAAAATTAGATAACCAGCAGGTGAAGACTTTAGTGATCATGGGGCTTTTCAAAAGATAACAAACAGCACACAAGATCAAATTTATATTGTACACTAGGAAGCCCCATAATCTCTTCCAGGACTATGTCTTGGCCTAGGAACACATTGCTCTAAGAGTACAGTGCATAGGTTCTGTTGCACAGATCCATATGCATTGCAGGAAACAAAACAACACGCACAAGGGAAGGAGTTGGGCAGCTCTGGGAAAGGGAGAGGGAAGATTCTTTGGAGGTAACCAACTGTTGCCAGATAGGTATTGACCGAGAGCATTCCTGTTCTCATTCACAAAGTTTCACAGAGGCCTATAGGTGAATATGATCATCTCTCTACAAAAGATATAAAGCAAAAATAGGCAGAAAGACTCTGGATGGCAGTAATTTTGTTAGGCGTTGCAACTCAGTGCATTTTACCATTTGTTTCTTATGCATTTACCCAGTCTTTTACTGTATATTAGCAACCATTCAAATAACAGTTAATAAGCCTTTAAATTACTATTTCTGAAGCAAGGGATAAAGTATACTTGATAGATTTTACTGAGTGTACAACTCTGGAATAAGACTGTGCTTTGTATGTATAATGTGCTCAGAGTGGTGTCAGCCCTGGTGCTAATGTCTGCCAGCTATCGTCCCTTGAGTCTTACACCCTATTTCCTTGTAGTGGATCAGCTACCACATTCACATTGCATGAAATCTGCTGAGTTACTTGGTTGGCTGCACGAGCTCAAGTGGTGTCTGTATCATACAGAAAGACCAACCATATAATCTTAATGATCCCATCTTTTCTGGAAATGCGCAATAACTTGGTAAAGGAATAAAACATATCAGGCATCAAAGTTAGACACGTTTCCTTAAATAAAGAATGGGTTGTCATTTCATGGTTTTAAAACCTTAGGCAGAAGAGCCTCCCACAGGGATAGCTAGGCTTTCTCATGTTTCTGTTATGTCTGTTTCCAGGTGTTGTCATAGTTTGGATTTCATAATTTATCCCAAGAACCCAGAGTGTAAATATCAGTCAATACAATGAGATTAAGGCAAGTAAGAACAGGCAGCATATGCTATGTGCCTGTGGGTTCGTATCTGCCAAACCTGCCTTGTCTCAAGTACAAGACAAAAGCTGTTTGTGCAGCTTAGAAGTCCTTAGAAGCCCTAAATGAATGCAGCTGGTCTGCCCTGCCAAGAAATAGGCAGGTGGCTTCTCTTTACTTAAAATACTTTTCCTGAAGACAAAATGCAACAATAGTTGGCAGATTTCACTGAAGTACAAGAAAAGGTCCAATGATGCCTAAATAGATGGAAGTAAGGATTGCTTGTGCAGTAATCATTAATTCTGAAGTTTGTCTGGACTCCAAACCTCTGTCAAGAGGAGAACATTATAGAAAAGCTCAAAAACCAGGAGGGCTACAAAGCAGATGGGTACAATGCAAGTTTAGGAAGGGTTATGTGATCTACGGCATGGATTTCAATATCTGGGGAAAACAATAAAAGCAGGAAAGTTTCCAAAGAACAAATGACAGTCAGACACTTTCTAAATAAAACTAAAGGCCAATCACTCAATTGCCGTTTGTGAGTGTGAAAAATTCCTAATACTTTCAGTTTGCATTATTAGTTAGAAAGGAGAGAGAGAGGGTAGTAGGGAAAATGAACAGAATAAAAAATTTTTGGTACCCAAACTGGATGGAAAGAGACAACATAAGATGTAACTATTCTCTGAGACTGAGCTGTAACGTGCAGCCTTCCCTAAAGCTGTTGGAAGCAGAAAGGCTCCCACAGCTGCATCCCTCTGGCTTCCACCAGAGAGATGCAAGTTTTCCCTCTCACTAGTTCCCAGGGAAGGGTCCTCATCCTAAGGGATTCCCTGGAGCACAAGAACCCAAGAACCAAGGGTGAGCACAGAGACCTGAGGGGCAAAAATGGGAAATTCAATGCTTGACAAGACAGAAGCAGCAAAGAAGAGAAAGGTGTTCAAGTTTAGGAGGAGGAGGGCCCACTTTTTGCACATGGTTTGTGTGAGTGCAAGAAGGAGAGGGGTTAACACGGCTGCAGCAGGTAGAGGGGTTTCATTAGGGATGTGTTCAATATGGCACTGCTCTTTGGACAGATGGAAGGGGGCTTATCTAGGCTAGAAAAGGAGAAATTCATTTGACAATCATACTGGTATACATTATTTCGCTATTCTTAATCTATGCAGGATCTAGGCTATTATGGAAAATTAAAATCTAAATACATTTCCAGTCATAGCTCAAGCTACTTGTCTTTAGAAGAAAAAAATACTTAATTTCCTGTTTTAAATCTTGTCATCTTTTTCCCTTAAAAGCTTGGAATAGTCAACCATCAGAAATACTACATGCTTTTTAATTATAGTGATGAAAAAATCATTTTGCTTCTCAACAATGGCATGAGATAGTTTTGTTAATTTTTATAACAGTTTCCTACTGACTTGGAATCTTTATTATATGACTGAGGCAACTGACTGCAATCTACTTTCTAAGGATCATTATTGTGTCAATTTGAGCCAATTCAGCTGTTGTTTGAAATGCAGTGCATACATTTGTCATTTAGTATTTTATTTCAAATTGCCTTTCTTTTTATTAACCATCAAACACTTTTTCTTGTTTAAGCACTAAATGTACTTATAAAATTTAAGATACTGACCCGGATATATTTTTTATTGTATGTTGAGTTATAAATAAAAGTCAGAGTAATTCTAAAACAAAAAATATTTTTCAGAAAGAGGGAGTTTTCTAAATAAAATCATCTGCCTATAGACTCCCTATAAAACATGTTCTCAGATTTCCTTGTAATATTAATCTTGCAGAGGGAATTCAGATGTTCTTATGATAAAAAATAGCAAATCTACAGTGACAACTAAGTGGTGATTTTTAAAATCCTTTCTAGCTAATCTGATTTGAGAAGACTCTGAAGCACATTTGCAATTTTAAATATCTTACACTCCAAGTGTGTCTGTGAATACACAGAGGTAGGATTTATGCAGAAACAAAACAGAGGGATCCACATAGTATTCCCATCTCTGGCACTACACATGGAGGTGACTAGGGTAAGTCACATCACCTCCTGATGCCTCGGTTGCCCCATCGGTAAAGCAATCCATGGTGGTAACGGCCTTTGAGATCTTTGATTGAAAGATTACGTACAAAGAAAAAGAATTTGAAAACAGTGATTTGTTTGTTTTGTTTTCTTTTGGGTTTGGATATTTACTTAAATCAGCATAATTCTAGGTTCAGACCTAGAACTTCCAGTCAAATAGGCTGAGATCTTAACGAATGACTCACATGGGTTCACCATATACTGCCTACAGACACATTCGGGTGTTCCAGAAACACATACTGGTTTGGTTTTGGGGTTTTTTTTGCTTCATTTTTGAAAAGACAGGTGCCATTTATAGGTATGTAAAAGTATATGCATTCACACCCCATTTATATCTTTAGAGTAAAAGTCTCAATTATTCAACAATTGCCACACCACTGCATGAAAATGTCTTCTATTTAAATATAGGAAATACTACAATTACTGCAAGCTCCTGAATTTTGAATGTAGCACTCTTAAGGCAAAGTATGTTATCTGATACGAAATACATACATTTATACTTCTGCTTACATACTCACAAAGAACACTGTCTCTCAATATCAAGGAGGTTGTACATAACTGGTAAGTAAAATGAAACTATTCTAATTTACATAAATAACAAGCACTGTAGAACAGTCTTCAGTACAATACCTAACTATGCAGTTACACACAGGAAAGCTCAGATATTCCTCACTGATTTCTATCTCTGGCATCCAATTATAGATCAAGACACCTAAACCCCTCTGTTTTCAGCCTTTTATTCCACTATAATTCATCATGCCATGTCTTAAAATAAACACAAAGTATAACACAGCATTCTAAGGCTCCCATTAATTATCAGTACCCGCCTTGAGATTACTTACAGACTTACAAACAATGCCTTCAGGAATGTATCATCATAAGGCACTTAAAGGTGCTCCAAGAACTGGAGAAGGACCAGTGGGATACAGTAGGAAGAATACACCCCAGAAGAGACATAAGCTCACACATGGCTTTCATGGATTTTGTGCACAAGTTAATTGACATGTTGTTCTATTTGCATCATGTCCTATCAGAATTACAGCAAGTAATTAATGAGAGTGGCTGGGGTCTCTTTAAGGTTTCTCTGTCCAAGAATACCTCAGTTAATGTTTTGATGAGTTTTCCGTCCAGTACTTTTGATTTCAAAACAGAAGTTCAAAACAGAACTGAAAGACCTTTTTTGCACGAGTATTTAAAAATATAATTTAATTTATCCCCCTATTTTTTTTACTTTCCTTTTTAAATAAATGCATTTTTAAAAAAGGTCATCTTTTAAATACCCTTTGCTTTCCCGCATAACATGTTTTTTTCACTCAGTGGTTTAAAGTCAAGCATGTATCTGCTTGTATGAAACTATGCTTGTATCTGAAGAGACAAACGTCACTAACAAGTGATACAGAACTCTCAAATCCCTGAGCAACTACTGTCAATTAAGAGTTATAACAGAGGTATCTTATAAAGCTTCTCTGCAAAGCAGGCAGATTCTCAGCATAGTCAGTTAAGCAGACACGAATCTATTTCAGTGCATTCTAGCAGTATATCATAAATCGTATTTTTAGCTTCGACACGATGAATTTAAAACCTGGTTGTAACTCTCCTCCTCACTGGACAGCTGAGCACAATCAAGCAGCTCCAGGTGTATCCTAAGAAAGTATGTTTACATATGTTCCCTCTCCCACAGCTCTACCTTTCTCAGGTCATGCATCCAGGTCTTACCTCAATGGTGTACTGCTCAAAAATCCGGAGCTGAAGGAAAATGTCTAGCTTAATCTTCCTTTCATGGAAGAGCTCTTCCATCTGTACCTGGGCCTCGTCAAGCTGCTGAAGGACAGATTCAATGTGGCTGATGGAGCTATTGTGTGGAGTCTTATTGTTGGAAACAGCAGAATCCCTGTAGCAAGGTAGAGAGCATGGTTAAAGCTGAGCTTTAAGACAGGCAAAAGAGGAAGAACTACACACTTGTGATTCTGCGTGCTGCTGAGAAGCAAACCCAAGCACAAAGGGCTGAGGGAAGGGGTATGCAACAGTCATCTCTTCTACTCACTGAAATCCTGCAGCTCCTGAGCTCAGCACAAAGTTTGAACAAGGGGAATCATCCTTTTTTTGTGTTGTGACACTGCAACCTTACACACTTGGGAGGGGCAGGGGAGGAGAATGACACATCAGCCTCAATGGCTCTCTTGAGGAGACTGGCTGGCAATCCCCGATAATCCTACATTGACCTGCTCCAGCCTACACTCACACCAAGCGCAGAGATGCTGTTTAGCCACCTGGACCTTTACAAGTTAATTTTGTGCATTTGCTTTATTACTCACTGACTAATTGAATCAGAATGACCAGTATTTTAGACCAAGGGGTAGGGATGCCTTGATTTCCTCCGGATTACGTAGTAGAGCAATAGATGCAGAATACAGTGCAAAAAATTCCACTGAAGGAAAACACCTTTCAAACACTGCAAGACAGACTCTGACTTGTCTTTTCCCTAGGGTAAGTGAAATGAGACATGCCTGTGACAGGTCAGATACTGCTCCATCTACACCTTCCATATGCAGGCAGCAGCAGGGAACAAACCCTTTAACTGGTGGGCTAGGACCACAGGGAAGTTTGCTGTACCTGAAAGAAGTCTTAGCATGGACATAGGACAGTCCTGACAATTTCTTTTCTATTTGTGCTCTCACATATATTAACAGGCCTACCTAGGGTTTGTTACACCTTCAGTAAATTTTTTTTCAGTGAGTGTTTTATGGATAAAGAGCCTTTACAGACATAAAGAGCTGAAATTTATCCTCGAACGTGCCACAAAAGGTCCCCCAACTTTAACAAGAACCAGAAAAGAAACTCTGAAGCCATAATTTAATCTTGGCTTTGATACTTCAGCTAAAAAAAGATTTAGATGCAATGCTTTTCTCTATCCGTCCTGCTCAAAGGCGTGTGATAGCAATGCATTATTTGGCATACTTAAGGAAGCCAACTGAAAACTCTATCAAATACACCGTTGGAAAGACTTGTGGACAGGTAGCATAACAGGATGAAGTGGGTAAGCCAGCGGGTCTCACCATCAATATTTCCTATCAATCTCCAGTTCTGCCTTGGAGAAGGTGGAAGGGACAATTACAAATCCAACAGCACATACTGGACTATTGGTGTATCAATACACTCCCATGTGTGCAGTGAACTGGCTGACAATATTGGAAGACAACCGAAATGTCAGGTAATGCAGCCAGGTCACTGCATTGTCCCACAGGGACCAAATGTGGCTGGGAGCCATTCTTCTGGCCAGCTAACCTGGGCTGCTGAGTAGAGGTGCCTGTGGAGTCTCCCCACTGTGGCAGAGTACTAGTATGTTCCCAATTTTGAGGTTTTTATTTCCCTTTTCTGGGTTGAATTTTCCCTCCAAAAACATCTAGCAAACCATTCATAGTTTTCTACAGAACTTGACTGAAATGCTTGTGCTTTGCTCTTAGCAAATAGTCATCATGTAGGGTCAGATTAAAACAACATTTAGTCAACTTAAATGTTAATTGAACACTCTCAGTGACTATAATTGAGAAAAAAAAAGTATAACCATTTGCAGATGCCTTAAATTGTAACGAGGCACTGACACACAGAGTCATTTTAGGTAAGTTCAGAACACACATTTGAGGTCCTAAGGCAACTAAACACGTTATTCTGTTTTCATTATGTGTCTTGAAGGAACAGAACAAGTGTTTGCCTGAACACCTGAAGCCTAAGAATAACATTAAAAATACAGAATACTATTAACTGCATAGTAGATTGCTCTTCAGATGCATTTTACTTCTTTTTCCTCAAATACTTTGTTTGATACACCGAACTTCAGATGTTCCCTAATTATTCTGAAGCAAGTACTACCAACTTCCCTTGCTTATAAGGGAGTCCAATATTACTCTCTCCAGGTGATATGGTTTCTGCCCGACTCCGTCAGTCTTGTGTTTTCACCTTCTTGGTGACCACAAGGTCTCTCTCTGCCTCCACATTAGAGTTGTACAGAGGAAGGATAAGATAACAAGGTGAGATTTTGAAACTACAGCTTAATCTGAGGCCACATTCAATCAAATTCTTTTCCCTTCAGTCAGCACCTGCCTTCTATGAAAGGACATGAAATATGTCTTCATTCAAATGCAGGATTATTATTATTCATATATTATCTAAATGACTCAATGAATTATTCAAGATTGGTGTTGAGTAATCTCTCACGGGATCTAAAGACACATTTGGATTTAGAAATTCTTTTTCATTAAACATTTCACTCTTCAAATCAAGCCACACTTGCATTTCAGTGGCTGATGCAATACAAAACTTTAAGTGTAATAATCCAGTATTTATTCACAGTCTCCTCAGATAAGGTCTTGACAATCCCTACATAGTCTGGTTTGAGAAAGATCTCCTTCCAGAAAAACAAATTTCTGAGATTGGATGTTTCTGCCACAAGATGTCTTGCTCTGTCTGATAATAAGAAATTCTGGGAAAGAATTCAGAAAAGATCCTCAATAGTCTCTGACAGGTTATGAATTAGAGTTATAAAATGCAGGGAAATTATTGGAAAAAAATATAAAATCAACTTCGAGGAACATAAAATTGGGCTTAGTGCATTGCTGTTGAGTTTGTTCAGAATGAACACTGTGCCACTGAAACCACTTTCAGTGCTTTAACTGGGAGATAGCTTAGTGAAACATACCCATTATCAAAAGCTCATATGCTGAACTACTCTAAAGAAGGCAAGATATGTAACTCTTCACTGTCTTTTTTTTGCCCCTAACATTCCTGTTCTTTCAAATCTCACTGGAGCAAGTCATTGTTTTGCCTTTCACAGATATACTGTCCCCAGCAGCACTCCTAGAAATGCAGTTCAAAAGATTTGCTTCGTGTTGACTGCTGAGAATGATGACCACCTCAGTAAAACACTGACAAGGAAGAGTAGAAAAGGTGTTTCCAATGCCAGCCATGACATGTACAGTGTTGCTAGCCAGGCCTCTTTTATTCCTGATAGGTATCGTCTCCTGATGCAGAGTCACTGAAGGCCCTGAAGAACTCTGTGAAGAGCAGTCCCAGACATTGTATTTCACGAGTTCAGGCACCTGAGCTTTTCCTAAGCTATCTGGAGGAGACAGAGAGCTATTACACAAATGATCTTCTCTAAACCAATCTGTTCTCTCAGAGATAAGGACAAGAAATGTAAAATTTTTCAAAGCCCCATTAATTTTATTGGTTTTAACGTGCGCTATGACATGCTAGATAAGAACAGTGTATTTCATTCTCTTCATTGTTGTGGCATTTGCAATCTTCAGCTATTCTGCATGGCAGGTAAAAGGTGATCCACACCGTGAAACGCAATGCTGTGTTAAGGAAATATTGCAGCAATTCTCATTTTTCCTCCTTTCCTTTATCTGTGTGTTCTTTACTTTTGCCTGCAGCCAAAAAGCCTTTAGAGTGGGCATAAACAGAGGTGGTTTCATGTTTTTCTTACACAGTTCTGCTTCACTTTTTGAAAGAGTCCAGGATCGCATTACAGGCTTTGCAGTTAGTCAGAGTACTCAAAACCAACACTTGAATCAGAGACCGTCTTGGCAGCTCAGCTCTGCAAATCTTTGCGTGTGCTCAGGGCTTCTGTCCTTCAGATAAAACCAAATACAGAGGGAACAGTTAACTTTACCAGAAGCAGGGGATCACTTTACACAAATGTGTTCACCCTGTTCCACCTTGCTGGCTGCCCAGAATACAAGCCAGGCCTCCAAACCAACATTTCTTTGTTAAATACAGCTGCCACAAAACCTTTCCTGGCATTTCACAAATGTTCAGGCACAACCCAATTCCAAAAAGTCTCAAACCTGAGGCAACTCTTACTTTTCAAAGACTGAAACTAAGAATTGACTAAGTTTACATTAAAAAAAACTGAAGTCCCACATGCCATCTCTCAGTTCACCTCTTCCCCTGCATGACCTTGCAGCCACTAGACCAGCCTTTCTCCAGCAAATGCTATTCATACTGATACTCCACTGACTTCTCAGCTCCAAATATTGCCCTGGCCACTCTCCAATTCCAAGTGCTGCCTTCCTACCGACTCAGGTACAGGCAAAAAGCCTTTAGGCCAATCCCACAGATAGCATCAGGACTCCTTCAATACAGACACTTTCTGCAACCCCACAAACCACCCCACACTCCACCTGATGGACTTATACAGGGTCCACTTCAGGCTCTTCTCCATGGGTGTTCATGCTGAAATGATGTTTTGCCAACAGGTGGGAAGAATAACAAAAAAAAAATCTTTAGACCAGAATTTCACTGTCATTTTTGTGATCTCATAGAAATGCCCTAAACTTCGCAAAAAGTTTCTTTGCTTAAAGGGAAATTACCATGCAGACCTTTGACTGACCTGTTATGGCTGGCCATACACACACTCTTACCTAAAACCCCGTCCTCCTGGCAGCTCACTTACCAAACACAGCGTGTTTCCTTCCTACTTATCTCATCAGCAAAGATGAACGGAAGGATGGAGCCTAGTTATGTCTACTCCTGATCCTTCCTTTCCAACTCTGATCTCCACAAGCAATACCACAGCTCAGGTCCCTTGCTCTCCCCCTGTGATGCAGGCAAGCCACATATAGCAAGACTGTATAGGAATTTACACAGCCTCTCCCGTGTGGCTGCCCAGGGCTGAACGACAATCAAAACCCAGAGAAGCCTTTTCAAATCTCTCATTTTTTTTCTGATCCAGTGGACTCTGCATCCAGGGTGACAGGAAAAAGTGTAGAGGAAAGCTCAGCACATGGCTGTAGTAGAAGACTCAGGGGCTTCCAGGAAGGCTCTTAAGGGCAGAGCTCCACCAGGGCCCCTCATTATCTACTCTGCTCTAGAGCACCTTAGGCATTTCCTAGCACGGCTCATGATTTTCTGCACTTCTTATGTGAGAACTGAAGGCATCAGATTAGGAAAGCTCAGGGTGAGGAGGATGACATAACTCTCTGGGACAGACTCTGGTAAAATGCAGAAGACCTGGTAGATTTGCATATTATATATGTATACAGAACATACACGCTATGTACGTGCAGATAAGGGCAAGCCATAGCAATACAAAAATCTAAAGAATAAGTGATGTGTTGGACTTAGTTTTGAGCTCAGTAACATCAGAAAAAGGCAGGAAAACTCCACTGCTGTCAAAAGTTAAATCACAGAAAACCACTGTAAATAAGAACAAACGAGAGAGATCTCACAAGTTTTGTGTAAGCTTACTCTGCAAACATTTGTTCTGCTACACTTACAGACTGAGAAAGCAAAAAAAACCCCAACTTCTTGGAGCCAGTCTCTTTATGTATTTTAAATCAAGTGAAATGAGATGGTTTAATTCATAATGCAAGTAGAACTGGCAGTATAAGACCCTCTTTGACACTATGAATAAACCCCACATTGACAAAGATAAATAGAAGGGTGCTGCATGCAAAATGAAAGAGTGAAGATTGTTAGACACGTGTATATTTTATTAAGAGGAATACACTTCTCTTACATCAGGAGCAACCACATAAATCGCAAGGCCTCAGCTCACAACAATTTAGCAATCTTCTATAAATACCAACTAAAATTATTCACCTGAAACACATTTGTTTCAATTCACTTCACTGTGCCTATAAATAATCTCTCTGTCAAACAGGAACCCATGCTGATCCACAGACTACTCTAATCAGTCCACACAAATCACTCCTTGCAATTTCAATAAAATATTCAAAGAATTTGAAGAATCATAAATAAGCAAAGAATTAATAAACTCTCCCAATTAATCCTAACTTACAGTCTCCTATTTATGCACACCTAAACCACAGCATACATCAGATTTCTCAACACCTGTCCTCCAGGTGGATGCTTACCTGAGCTGTTGGATTAGATCTTCCCCTTCTTTAATAACATTGAGGGTAGCATCCAAGGTGGCTGTTTGTTGCTGCTGAAACTGCTTGATAAGCTCCTGAACCGCATCCACAGAGTCAGCACAGACATCCTCTAAGAGCTCCTTCTGCAGATCTTCCATCCATGTCCACAGCTGGGAAGGAGGGGAGGGAAATATAAATCAGAGAGGGATTGAGATTTAACCCTTTTGCTCTCTAATTCCAGATCAGTAAGCATTAACTAGGGCTGCATGTTTCACATGAAAACTGACCTAAAGTTTCTAAAAACAAAAAGATACATTGCTTATTGATTCTGGTTGATGTAATTCCATTTTAAGCAACAAAGTACAATAAACACAATAACAGGCAATTTTTCCCAAAATTAATTTGCATTTCAGTTTATTATATGTTAATAACTAATTATATTATTCTGATTAACTCTTTACACAAGCAACAAATTACAATGCCCTACAGCTGTGATAACCTAACCCTTTCAGGAGCTCTATGCTATCAGCTGCTATTAATTTCACGTGCAGCTGAAGCCTGTTGCAGAACAGACCTAAAATCTTTGGTATGTATGTATGGTGCTGGCTGAAGTTGAGCTGTGCCTGCTCAGCTATGACTTCCCAGGCAAAAGGTTTTGTGGAGGGTTTGTGGCTTTTGATTGGGGGTGTGTGTGCGTGTGTTGGGTTTCTGCCACTTACCCCTCTCCTCAAAATGCACCTCAGACTCTGCTTTTTAACTCTGGGAAAGTCCAAACGTAGGAGACAGCAATATCACCAATCAATCCCATGCAGATCCATTAATTTTAAATAATCTTGACTACCAATTTCAAAACAACAACAACAAATCATTCGAGTAAGTGCTTAGATGAGAATTTCCAGCCAGCTGTTCATCAGAGATCTGGACAGTGGCAGGCAAGCCCATCGTCGGCTGTAAAGGCTTAAAGCGAACTAAGGTTTCCCCTTTAAGCTTGCTCTGAAAAGTGAGTGTAAAATTGCACCAACTGTGCTGGCAATCTGCCAGCAAATCCTAATGACTCCACCAGAGAGACTATTTTCTGTGCCATGCCTGCCCCATTAACCCACATTCTGCTGGTATATTCTGCAAGGTAGCAGAGGAGAACAGGAGCGGGAAACACCACGTTGCCCCCGTGCACTGGGAAATGTCAAAGAATGTGGTGCTGGCAGTAGCAGGGCTGCACTTCTGCCTGCTGTTCCAGGGAGCTGCAAAGCAGTTTGTCTCAAAGGGACCTAGAGGTACAGATGAAGCAGACAACAGACGTTGTGTGGGGGTGGCAAAAGAGCTGGTATAAATGTTCCTGTTCAAAATGAGGTGCACTGGATCCCCATCCTACAGGATTTCTTCTGAGATTGAGAATTCTGCATGTCTGTGTAAAACGAGAGGAGGAAAGGGACCTCACCAGCTGGCAAGGTTTCTCACAATTAAAGTCCAAACCTAAGACCAGTCATCGAACGTTATGCTATACGTGTGCTACTGACTTCAAGGATATCACCCGGATCTAAACCAAAATAATCAAAATCAGAACCTGTCCCAGCACTGCTCATGATATCAGAAAGGGAGAGCTCAGCTCCCTGTGCTCTGTCCCCACCTTGGCTACTGACTCCTTGCTTGACAGACTTACAAAAACAAGTTTTGAAACATACGCTTAATTTGAAGGCTTTTCAGTTAGACTTTCAGAGTCAGCTTTGAATATTTTGGGTAAACGCCTCTGCTTATTCCTCAACAGCATAATCATAATGACCTACCCTACTACTGGCCTAAAATGGAATGTTATTGCTCAGGCTGTTTACATATTTTCACATTCTCAGGAGAAAGGCATGATATAAAAACGCATCTATTAATAAAAGAAACAAATATAATTAAGTAGTCAGGATTGTGAAATAAATGAAAGAATGAAAATATATTTAAAGAACCAAATAGAGAGCTTTTGAATTTGTGGCCTGAGGTCCACATGCTGAACTTTGGGAAACCACCATAAAGGAAAATGCATTCATGCCTTTATACATGAATTACATTCAGAATCTTCCTGGGTTTGATCTGATCCCTGCACCCACTCAAACAGCAGGGACAGCTGGACTATAACAGGTGAGGACCAGTTTGTTCAGGAATATTACTTTCTCTGCTTATCAAATCTTCAAGTAATAGAACACTTGGTAAATATAGAAGAGAAAAATGGCCATGCGTACAAATCATCCTTCTGTTTTGAGCTGGGAAAGCCAGTAGTTTTTTAATTTCTTGCTGTTCTTCATCATATTTCATTTTTCCACCTAAGATAACAAAAAAAAACCTCAGGGAATTTCCTTTACAAAAATGAAAGTGAAATTGAGAACTCGCTGCTTCTTCAGGAATCCGCTGTTTTCTTGAAATTATGATGTTAGAAAGGGCAGAGGAGAAAGTTTCCGATCCCCCACTGCGACTTGAGAGGAAAACCCTGCTTTCAAAAGTGTCTCCAGAACCCATGTTTCAGCAGCAGCCAAAAGGATTTGGACATTTAAGATCCTAAATCACATTTTGAGTACGCTTCTAAATCAAAGCAGTTTTGAAACACTTAAACTGTACTGCACTCACCTGGAACAGAAACACTCATTAATTTCAGACAGCACTCAAATATATTAACTCATTAGCTTCAGATGTTTCCATTAATGATCTCTGATTGTAAGGATTTGCATAATAAAATCTATCAGAATCTAGGTCATCCTTGACTCAGAGGCCTTTAATCCTTTAGACTCCACCAATCCCTGGGAAATCCTAATACAAAGAATCAGTCAATATTAATAAGATTAGGAAGATCTTTCAGGAACAATTTACAATAGGAACCTGATTCAAAAACCTCCTAGGTTATGTGCTACAACTAACAGCATCTGAAATAAATTACTACCAAGCCCCACTTGTGAATGCCACAGCAATGAAAAGATGAACTCCATGTCACTGCAACACCAGAGTCAGAAGAGCCGTTAATCATAAAATAGAAATCATATCCTGTTTGTCCCAGCTCAGAGAAATCAGTCCCTATCAGGGCTTGATTTTTAATTCCAATGCAACTATTCAACTGATTTAAAAATATCCTGAGTATTAAAACCGCAAATCACCAGACACCTTGTGCATTTCCTAATTCATGCTGTGACCTACTCTAAACAGCTAGCTAGCTAGCTTAGACTTGAGTGAACCACTTCAGTTTTTCATTGAAATTTGACATGTTACACAGGACAACTTTTATCTCATATTTGCAGAAACTGACTTTCTTCTTTCATTCTTAGCACGAGAAAAATTTGTGTGCACCTGTCCCACTCACATACATACTCCCCACTACTGCTAATCTATCACTTGATCCTGTATGGGGGCATTATGTAAATGCATGCAGACATTTCAAATACTAACACAATATTTCCACATCCAGCTGTGGTGACTTTTACTAAGCTTGCCGGTGATGCACATGTCCAGAAAAGCAGATAATCTCTGCATTGTATTACTTAACATGTACCAAACCAAAGATACAGAATCCTGGAAAACAATGAAGAAATAACACAAAAATAATTTTTGTGCTTCATTCAAACTGATCTATGCTTTGGTATGATCAACTGGATATGGAAATACAAACGCATTAGTGGTAAAACCTGAATTAATTCCATCAGAGAGATCCAGCCACAAATCTGACTCATGAAAACTACGTCTAAGAATGTTATACTTGTCAGCAACACAGAAGTCCAAGGCAAATACCTAGCTGTAAAACATCCAAGCTGAAGGTTCACAGAGGCTCCAAAGTTGAGGCTTTATTTATCAAGGTAACCATGGCTTTAAACAAGAAAAACAATTCTCTTCTGCTTACTTGACTAGTGAAAAAGAAGAATGACAAACACCCCTTTCTTTTGGGGGAGCATCTGGCACCTCTCATGCATTGTAACAACTTCTGCGTCTTTCTTGGATATAAAACACAGGCAGTTTCCCTCCATCCAAGAGACAATACAGCTCTTTATTCCCAGCTATTTCATCTGATGCAATACCCTTCATTTTACTCAAGTACTTAATGAGACCACTTACTGGAGGTTTGAAGGACATCTGTGCCTGCTACCTACAAATTAATGCTTCTGACTTAGAGCAAGGGACCACTTTAAACAAAATCTAAAACCTAAAGAGATTGCTAAGAAAATCTTGCCTGCGTGTTTGGAATAACTATTAAACATCCAGTGTTCGTACGCTGCTATTTGCAAATGCCAGAGATGAGTTTTAATCCCCTCAAAACCTGTTTATAAACACTGAGTAATGAGACCACTGAAAAGCAAAAAACCAGTCGGTTCTATCCACGAGGATTACCATTGTACAACATTTTTGCTAGTTTTTCAAAACAAGGATGTTAATGGAAACAAGCAACTTTCCAGGGCATATGTTCTACCTCTTTACTACGTCAGAGAAGTGTCATGTGTTGCAGAGCAAGTCCCAAAAGGATGCTCATGCCAACTCAGTAAAGTGAACATCCATCACAGCAATGAAGGCTACAGCAGAATGCAGAAGAATTCAGTGAAATATGGGGACTCTTTTTTCCCACCTGACTTGCACTGCTTCCACTCCATGAGTTGTAACAGAAGTGTGCAGAGAACCAAGGGCAGGTTAAGAAAAAAAAACCCAAACACAAACATAATTGCTCCAGAGAGAAATGTCCATCAACGCTGTTTTCCTCTGCTACTATGCCAGGCTTATACAAGCATATTCTGAGCAGTAACATCTAGCTTTTTCGTAATACGCATTACGAAGTCACATGGACCCCAAGTTCAGGTTAATTTATGCCAGGACTTCAGCCTGTGTTTATGTTTAAGGACCTATTCAAGTGCTGTTGTGAATCTGGCTTTATTGTGCAGGCTTTAGGAAATTGCCTTTTCTACCTCAATTTCCCCGCACCAACATGGTGGAGGTGATAAAACTTTTCAGCATGAGTAACCTTCATCAGCTGATGTATATTCACACTCAGAAAGCATCCAGTGCCATTTCAGTTGAAAGAACTGATGGTTGTTATAATTGGAAGCATATTTCAACATCATTTTCCAAAGTCACATTCAAGGTCTCATGGAAATGTCAACAGAAACATAGAAAACAATGTATGCAATGACGAGCTGTAATGTGCCTGCATGCCACCAGT